AGACAGAACCCTCAAATCCACCTTAAAAAAATATTAATAGGGACACATTCATCCCTAAAAAAAAAAAGGACAAATTACTCCTCCAAATCATATTAGATTATAAAATAAAAATTATTAAATAAAAATAATTCTTGATAGACAGAACCCTCAAATCCACCTTAAAAAAATATCGGTAGGGACACATCCATCCCTAAAAAAAAAAGCAAGGACAAATTGCTCATCCAAATTATAAATTAATACAAATCACCAATTTTTCAACGTTTTCTGTTAAAAAATGCTAACGTGACAAACAAAATTCAGACGTTTTTCGTTGAAAAATGGGTGATCTGTAATGATTTATGATTTGAAGGAATAATTTGTCTCTGTTTCTTTTTTAGAGGTGGATGTGTCCCTACTAATATTTTTTTAGAGGGATTTGAGGGTTTTGCCTTCTTGATATCATAAGACTCACCCCATAATATGATTGCATAATAGTTTTTGTTATATAATATAATTTTCATTTCGGCAAAAATTTTCGAACATCAACTTTTAATTAATTGACTCATATAGACTCACTGTTTCTTTTCTTTTCTCTTTTTCTTTTCTTTTTTCTGATGAGAAGACTCACTGTTTCTTTTTCTTTCTTTTTTTTTTTTCTGATGGGAAGACTCACTGTTTTTTGATACCTAACAGAAAAAACTTTTTTCCCTTTTACAAATCTCCCAATTCCCCTAGTTCGAAAAAAAAAAAAAAACAAAACAAAATTTTGTAGCGTGTACGTCCACGATGAAATACAGAACTCCAGCCCAAAAACTTTACTAACGTCGAAAGAAGAAAACCTTCTCAATAAATATCAACATAACCTTCTTTTTTAATGCAAGGCGTTTCCATTTTCGTTCCTTAATTATTACCTTAAAAGTCATTTTTTAGATACTAATTCAATTTGTTAAAAAAAAAAAAAAAATCTCCAAGCAAAATTTTTTCTGTCAACATTAAGTTTCTAATTTGAATATATTATAATGTTACAACAATTCTTGTATTTATTTATTATTTTACAATTATCA